GACTGTTTGGCGGGTGAGCCACATAATGAGTGAGGAGGGGGAATTGGAAAACCATGTGTGTTTTGATCCTCTTACATGGATGGAAACTGAAAAACCCTCCTGCAGAGACAAGAAGCAAGGAAGTCAGAAAACTGAAGGCTCTTGAACCCCCTCTCTTTCCTGCCCCATGAATTGATGAATATGGATATAGTTTTCAAAATGTAAGACAAATAAAATTAGAAGAAAAAAAAAAGAAAAAGACTGAGCCTTTGCCACCCACTCATATTTAACTTAATAATGAAATTATCAGAATTGGTCTCAGGAATTTTAAATGTTGGTTATGTGCCAGTTATTGGGTTCATTCCAAATAAAACTGTTTCTCTTCTAGTACTCCATAACCAGTATTCATTTTAACTGAAACAAAATAGCTGAACAGCTTAACAAAACCCAAATGGTCATAGACACTTCTCTTCATTCATGTGGTCCTCTGTATACCCTTCATCTCCCCAACATGCTCTCAAACACACTGTGCCAGATTTTGATACCATCAAGAATTACCTAACTCTTTTAGTGGTTCCACTGAAGTTGCTTACAGAGTAAGATACTGCTTAATGTCAGTAACATTATTAGAGTCTGTCTCAATATTGTGTGGGGTCCATTTCTAGCCTGTGCTTGTTACAGCATCACATATCAATCACTGAAACCTCTCCATGGTTGCAAATAATAGTTTAAGAGAATTAAAAAACAAAACAAAACCCTGCTGTCTTTTTTGCAGCTGACATGCTTTCTTTTTTTTCCCCCTTCTATTTTCCAAAAAAAAGAAAAAAGAAAAAGGAAAAGAAAAAGAAAAATCCCCTAATTCAAGAATATGAAACCAGGAAGTTCTAAAACCAAAATGTAATATGAGCGAACTAGTGGGTTCTCTGAACCTCTTCAAACCTGAGGAAAAGAATCAACTGGAGTGTGGCGTGGGTTGACTTAATTTTACCCAAATCAGTTTGCATCAACTAACTCTTTTCCTAAAGTCCGTATTTAAATTCCGTAATTTGCTGCACCTGGGATAATCTTCTCCTATTTATATTCAGGCAAAAAGTACATTTTATTATTCCAAAGGGGAGAGTAGTGAGTAATTTCTGCAGTCTTTAAATGCCAGGAGCCCTAACACACCTATGTCAATATGATTGGGTTAAACCATACAAGCAGAGTTTGGACAGGTTACAGAAAGATTTAACACCAACACTTCTAACTAAAATGATGTGTGCCCTTATTTTGTCCACACATTGCTTCTAAATTATCTAAATTTTTAAACAGATTTGCTTTATATGCAAAGATATCCATGATGTTCCCCTTTGATGTTAAGAAATAAGCACTGGAGCAGAAATTCTCATGACAAATCCAAAAACTACAATTTTAGTTATATGTGCTGCCTTCCCAGATAAAATGTTAGGAGATTGATTCAGTGTGCCTGTTCTAAACCTAGTCCTTTATTCAGAGTTTTAAAAATCTTATTAATGACTCTACATTGATATTTGAGACTTCTAAATAAGTATTCCTGAATATCATGGCTGATTTGGTCTCAGTGTTGCCTGTTGGTGATTTTGTTTGAAGGAGATGCCTGAAATACCTCTTTATTTGCTTGTAAAGCAGTTTTATGTACATTCAGCCTGTTTTGTGTAAATGATTAGATTAATGCAACTGAATTACAGCTACAAAATGGGTGAATTGAATTTCAAAACCATTGCAGAGCCTTTTTTATTTTTACTAGGAAAAAAGCTTGGATTAATTGTATATACTAAAAAGAGTTAAACCCCACAAACATGATTATTTTCAAACATTAAATATTCAAATATCTGCAAGGAGAACTTTTTGACTACTGAATTCAAACATGTTCCAGAGATAATCCTCAGTAAAAATACATTTAAAACCATTTATGAAAGACTTGTCAACCAATGCAGCTCTCAGGAATTTTTTTCCACGTGATCCAACGTTTTCTTGTTACTCTTGCAGGCATCAAAAGCGAAGGAGAAACCATGATTAAAGCATAGCTACCCCAACAGCAAAGTTCTTTTTGAATTATATATTTTCACTGTAGCTCCAGGACTTCCTGATTTTTTTGGGACTTGAAGTAGTGAAATACTACAGGACAGGCTTTTTCAGTGGTATTTCCGGCTCAGCTGAAATCAGGAAGTAGTGGAGCTCTCAAGAGAGTGCCTGATTTTGTGAGGTTTCCAAACCAGAAAGGTTTGGATAAGTTCAGATAAAGCTTGGATAAGCATCCAAACTTTGGAAAGCTAAACATCAATGACAGACCTTTTGAGGTTCACCATTGCTAGTTTTTATAGAGTGGCAAGAGATGGTCAAGACTGATTTAGAAAGTCTGGGTTTAAAACATATCTAGCCAACAACATATCAGTGGGGAATTAGGAAATGGTTTCCCTTTTTTGGAGGTTTAGTTTAATTCTTAATTTATAATGTGTAGAAGGAACACTGGTTTCTTTAGTCTTAAAGGAAAGTTGGTCAGACTTACTGAGACTTAAGGTGTGTCTACACTGCCATCTTCTGGTGTAAACAATGCTAAACAGAGGGTTTTTTTTATATCTTTCCTAACACACTGGGGTGTATTAAAATAGAATATCTTTTTAATTATTTTTTCAATAGGAATGTGATCAAGTTCACATAGATGATGTTTCCTCTGATGACAATGGGCAAGACCTAAGGTAAGCTGTATTTTTTTTTCTCATCATAATTTGATTTTCTGTAAAGATTAAACTTCAGCTTTTAAAGGAATACATTGTATTTATTTTTAATATATTTTGGGTGTTTGCAGTACCTACAGTTTTGCAACTGATGGCTTCCATGCAGCTGCAAGTAGTGCAAACCTTTGTCTGCCAACAGGTGTGAGAGGAGGGGTGGACTGGATGAGGAAGCTGGCTTTCCGTTACAGAAGAGTAAAAGAATTGTATAATACTTACAAGAACAATATAGGAGGTGAGTTTAAAGAGTTTATGCTTAAAACAAGTTAAAGTACCCATCCCATTACAGTTGAAGGAGTATGAGAGGACACCAAACAATCATATTCCAATCTACCATGGGTTGTTACTTCAAAAGGGGAGTGGGTGCTAGTGCTTGGGAGCCCACGTCAGCTGGTATATGGTAACCGTTATATTGACATGCTCTTGTAGCGATACAAAATGAGCTAAATACTTTTAACCGAGATATTACCCCTGGTTAAACCGGGTTGCATTATGCTTATATCTCCATAGAAGCATGCAAATGTAACAATTAAACAGTTACCAATCAACTGCCTTTCATAACTTCACAGGGGTCTGTCATATTCAAGTAGTTGTTTGGTGCTCTATGTAGACTCTATGGTAATTAACCAGTGCCATAATTAATATGCCTGGGAAACCTCCCTGTGAATAATAAATTAATTGGAATTAGTCCTATTAAAGTGTAATGTAAGTGACTGATCTGGGGATGTGCTGCTGTGCAAGAGGCTTGGATTCCCCCTGTCTGTGACTGAGGGAATCTCGAACATAGTGGGAACAAAACACTTACAGTGAAATCCTGGCCAGATGGAAGTAAAAGGCTGCATTCAAGGAGATTTCTGTGGGACTAGAGCTTTTTGCTTGAGTCCTAGTTCGGACTCAGTAACAAAATCCTCACTGACTTAATGTCTGTGTCAGCCATTTACTTTAAGCTATTTCTTGAGGTCAGGTATCTTTCTTCATGTGCCTGTCAGGCTTTTTCATTTGAATTTCACCGGCCTTTTTCATCATCCTGCTGTTTTGTTGACCTGACTAGTCACTGTACTCAACCATCCAAATTCTGTTGAAAGTTTCTGCAAGCAGGCAGGTCATTTGACTGATTCTGTGATAACAGATCCAGAAAAGGTTTTCTAGTCCTGCCACTGTTATACCACTAGCTGATTCATTACTTCTGTGACAGGCATGTCTTGAAGAATCAGTAGCAAACTTACCTACACACGATGAAGTCTTTTCTACTATGGTTTACTCTGCTGGATCTTTTAGTAATTTTAAAGTGCCACTAACAGTGGTAGAATCGAAGGAGTCGTTCTGAGTCCTACAGCTGTGAGAGAAGGCTGGATCACTCCAGAAGATTCCTGTAGGATTTAGATAGCCAGCCAACCTACCTCTGAAGAGACAGGAGAAATACATGTCAGACAGAACATGGAGGGAGTTAGGGGGTGGACATCTTCAGATCTTCACTCCCTTTCCAAATCGACACACAATTGAGGGGGGGGCTCAGGGTATCCTTTGTGGGAAGAGGTCCCAATGAGCTCTCCAGTGTTTCTCCAAAGTAATTTGGCATAAGTTCAGAAAAGCCTAAGTCTCAGTTTCTTGTAAAAAAAAATGTAAGAGTTGTGGTCTTGCTTTGGCAAGTCCAGCTATCAGCAATAGGAATTATGAGTTATGATGACACGGGGAGTGAGTTTCAGTCCCCATAGGAAACATTTTATTGAAAATGGAACCAACTAATATCTTTCCATTTTTATTAGCTAAGATTCTTTACTTGCAGAGAGATTAAGTGAGTTAAACTACCTAAAAAGTAAATGATAATCCCCTAAGAAATCGTCCTCCCTGGAGAGTCGTATTGCTGTTATGAAATGGGATCTTTAGACATTAAAAATACAGCAGAACTATCTGATCTACAGATTTACTGGGCATTCTCAGAAAAGCTCCTGATGTGTCTAAAATTTTAAAGCCACCATATTTCATGAAAAGATATTGAAATAACAAGAGTCACTGTGAGGGTGAAATGTGTTTACATGGTATGTTCTGTATGTATAATTCCTTTATCTTGATAAATATTATTTATGTGTTACCGGTCTTGTAATTTGTTCCACTATTAATGGCCAGTTCACACATGTATTTTCCTGCCATCAACTTTTACAACATTTTTTTTTTCCTCACAGGGCAATTTCATTTCAAAATAATGCCTGAAACCAAGCATGACTGAGCTATGTGGTCGGAGCTAATTTAATACCAGCCTTTAGAAAATGTCAGTCACCCAAGTTAGGAATATAGAACATAAGACTGAAAGATATCATCAGGCCCAACCCCCATTCCATAAGCCTGTTAATAAACTTACCAAGCTCTATCTTAAAATATCTAGGCTTCAAACTAATTAAGTCTTAAAACTCAGGTGACTGAGTAAATTATATCTAATGGTAAATGATAAGGAAGGAGCTTTCTGCAGTTTATCGAAAACATGATTAAATAAAAGAGCACAGGAAGTGTACAAGTATTTCTAGGCTGCAGGTACAAGTTGGGAGACAGTATTTAGGAAAAAGAAATAAAAATAATAATATGACATTAACAGAGAGACTGACTTTCAGTAGGAAATTCAGTAAGAAATGCAGTGCTGTAGTGTTACTACCCTGTGCAGCAGTCCTCCAGTAGGTTGTGCAGGAAGTATCAGTGCATGAGAAAAAACTTTAGAAAGTGTACTGTACAGAAATAATTCTGCATAGATGAGTAAGGGTAGTACTTCTTTTCCACCTCTGACTTCTATATGAGAAACAAGTGGATTATTAATGAGAGCTCAGGTGCCTTCACGGCCCCTCTAAAATTCCATGATTTTGCTTAAAACAGCAACATTATAACAGTGCAGAGAATTAAAATGTAACTCCTTGATCATCACTGTAATTAAGTGGGATCTTCTTGCTGACTTCAATAGGTGTGTTTCATCATGTCCTAAACACAGAATTCAGATAGACAACATTACTGCAAGATCCATGTGTTCCAGCTAAAACTGACTTTAACTTGTTTTTCTTCTTCATTTATATACAAGGACTCCTTGGCCCCGCTAAAAGAGATGCATGGTTGCAGTTAAGAGCAGAGATTGAAGCTCTGACAGACTCCTGGTTGACAAATGCACTTAAATCATTATCAATTATTAGCACAAGGTATGTATTTATGTATGTTCTAAGAACATTAATATTATTATTATTATTTATATGAATATACTTTAGTACTTCAGCAGAATAGCTTTCAGAAACAACCCAAAAGTAACTGGATGCTGAGTAAACACATTTCCACATCAGAGTCCCCAGCAGTTCTTAGAAACTTACGGAAATGCTTAATACAAAACCTTTTGAGAATTGTCCTATTAATATATCTATATTGATACATATTTGGAGTTATTGTAACTCTTAAAATTATGTTTTTGTGGAATCCACATTCAAATTCCAAATTTATGTTTGCAATGTTTCTGTATTGTGTGAATCTATACATGTATCTGTGCACTGCACAATACTATAGTGCATAAAAGCCCAGAAACCAAAAGTGTTTCTCCTCTCTCCTTTCCCCCAGACATAACTTTGTATACATATGTGAGGTCTGGGGTTTTTTTAAAGAAAAAAATGTTATGTTAAACCAGAGTAATTAGAACTTAGTATTCCCTTTCCTAAGAAATAATTGTAATCATTGTTTCTTAGAATGGATAAAACAATAATAATATAAACTCCCCTTGCTGATTTTATAATAATGTGTTCACAGAACAACCCACATTCCCTCTGAAATAATCAGTAATATAAGCATAACAGTGTGGAAATAAAACACATGATTCTATATTGCCTTGTGTTTCAAAATAAGCATGGGTTAAAAGAAGAATTGATTTTAAGTGGGGGAAAAACAAAGCTGGTAAAATAGAAAGAACTATTTTAAACATGTATGCATTTTTGCAGACAGCAAGTAAGGTGGAAAACTATTACATTTTAGCAGTATTTTTTACCAAAAGAATAAAAATGATAGCCATGCAAGTAATTTTATTGTAGCCTATTGTGTTTCACACTACTTCTGAAAGTATTATTCCACCCAAAGTTCAAAAATTTCATTTTGAAATTAGTGCCGTTTAAGCAACGGGAGGTGCCAAGAAAAAGTTTTTCACTATATATAGAAGTTAAGTAAACCATTCATTTTGTTTTCAGATATTATACATCCCTCATAATGTATCTATAAAATATGAGAGTGAGAACATGACCCCTGTTTTACAGGGAGGAAATGATAATGCAGTTAGGTTGCCTACCTTGCCTGAAGTTGCACATAGAATCGGTAGAAAAGCCAGAAGAAGCTGCCACAAGTTCTTGGTCCTAATTTTGTCATTACCATATTAACTTGAATACAATACAATTCTGAAAATAAGATAACCCCAATAATTAGATTCTGTATATGGAAAATTTATATGTGTGTTATAACTTTCCAGGTAGAGAATCTAATTATTGGAGCTTTCCCTTGAATTTTTCCTTCTTCCACTGCAGGGAAAATAAATCTGGGGGGTGATCAGGTGACCCCCTTTCCCTCTGCCCCCCCCGACTTCTTTCCCCTGCGGTTCCTCCCCCCCTTACTGTCAGACCCTCTCCCTGAGCACATGGAAGTGAGAAGCAAATTTGAAAACACTGACTTTGAAATAAACATACAAATTATTTTGGACACCCAAAGACTTAGTTTATTCAGAATCAATTCATTGACCTTCTTAGAAACTGTTACAAGTTTTAGCACAGGATTCCATTAATGAAATTTTAAGCAGCACTTTGGCACCTGCTTATATATAGGACAAACTAGACTTAGACCAAAGACAAAAGGCTGTACTGTACAAATGTATTTACCATATAGATGATAAATACAGTTGGGCTTCAGGAGAGTCAACAGCATTTCTAGCCATGAAGACCCCATATCTCAGCACTTAGTACATGTGCTCCAGATACCCACAACAAAGGATCCTTGTACTAATTACCTACCCCCACTCATGACTGGAACCAGGTGTTCTTGTTACGTGTCCTGGGACCCTCCAAGAATTTATCGGCTGATAAGGTGAAGGGCTGCCTGATCCAGCTCCAGTTCCACCTCATAGAGAATTGGGCCATACTAATCATATGTGACAGGTTGAGAGAAGGTGAGGCAAGCAAGAGGGATTCTAGGTGAACTTTTTGGGGCCCCATTTGATGATGGGTGCCAGACATTTAAGGTTGTTGAAGAAACAGGAATCACTGAAAATGGAAAAGGCAGGCACAGGTCAGCTGTAGGAGTGAAGAGGAAGTTGAAATGTATTCAGTGTAGTGGCTCACCATGATTTGAAAGAGTCAGCGCTAAGGGGGACAGAGTGCAATGGACACTAGTCTGTCTGTTATTCAATTGGGGTTGTACTAATGTATGTTTGCCCAATACAAGCTATGTGCTTTATACTCATGCTCAGTGTTGGCTGCATTTAATTAACTTCATAGGTGGTTTCCATTACTGAACAGTGCTGCTTTTGGCAGTGGTTTAATGATAGACAATGTATTTAATGAGGTTTGCTTCTGTGCAAGTGTAAGATGAGGAGCTTTTTTTCCTCTATGCCATGCTGACTGGGGGGGAAAACCTCACTTATAATCAGGTAAATATGGTATATCACTGGGCTACATATATATTTCAGTCTGTCACTATTTGATTGATCATGACTATATAATGCTGTTAGTTTTGGTTTTATGGCTACTGCAATTTAAGCCTCCTCAAAGACAAACTGGAATAACCTTAAAAACTGCCCATTTCATCTTTGACTATTAATGTCTTTCCTCTTACATTTAGAACTTCACATTTCTGAAACATTGGGAAGGTTTAATTTGGTCTGAATTAGAAGCATGTAGCTTTACATTGTCCCCTCAAGGCAAGAGTTACAAGCGGTCTTTTACTCTTTTACCCCTCTCACACTTTTTCATCTAATTGATTATTAATAACAAGTAATTGTCAGTTTGAGAACTGTGTTTGTGTTAGCAACACTGGAACCTAGATTTCAAAAGTGACTGGGGATTTGAGGTATCTTGTTTTTTAACATTCCTTAAGACATCTTAAAGGGACAACATTTTCTTAGTGTGGGTATTGAATCCTTTCTGAAAATCATGCTAATATACTTTGTCTAAACCACTATGAGCTTTGGACAAAGGATCATACTTTGACAAAGGATTTATAATAAAACATTCTCGATGCTAGTGGTGCAGAGGCCCTACTACTAAGTGAGGGTAACGAAGTTGGTTTGACAGCTAATGTTAGCAAAGCTTGAAAGACACCTTCAGTGCCATGTTTCTGATAGTTTAATAAAGTATTTACTAAATCACTTTTTGATAATAGATTGTTACATAGATTAAAACTATTTCTCTCCCTTTAGGAGTAACTGTGTAAATGTTTTGGTAACTACAACCCAACTTATCCCAGCACTTGCAAAAGTCCTGCTATATAGTTTAGGAGGTGCTTTTCCTATTGAAAATATTTACAGTGCAACCAAAATAGGTAAGTTTGCATTTTACATTCTCAAATTAAACTATTTTTTTTCATTTGTACTACATAGAGATGGATTCAGAATCAGTTTTCTAGTATTATTAATATTTAGGTAGAAAATAGATTGTGCATTTCCTCCAGTTTTAAGATTCATTAGTGCTTTGAATGCTTGCTAACAAGACATTTAAACTTCCATGTTCACTGTGGTTATTGCTAATCCCAGTACTTTCTTCTACATTTATATGTAGTTACAGTTGTTGCCATCTAAATATATACTTCCCCAGCAGAAGAGTTTTATCTTTTAGTTGTTAGTCACATAGTACACTCACCCAGCTTATCACATGAACCATCACCATTATGAGTTCTGATACCTACATTACATTAAAGCTTAGAGACCCCCAGTTCAGCTGTATTTTAAAATGAAGGTCTTCATTTTGTAAATAAAACTCCAGCATCTAATATCATATACTAATTTATCATATGTGAGTTATTACTTATGAATATATATTACATGTAAGCAGATATGAATAACTTCTAATGTTCACTAACAAACAAACCATTATAATGAAGACAAGCTGAAAATAAACCAAAGGCATGGGTTTTGGCAGGTACCTAAAGAAGTCAAGCACCCAGCTCCCATAGTAATCCAGCATCTTTGAGCACCTCTGAAAATTCTCTCTCTAGTACACGATGTGCAAATAGAAAATATAAGAAAAAAGATTGATGTTTTCCAACTAAAAATGCTTATGCCATTTAAGTCAGAGGACAAACCTAGTTCATATTGGTATCTAAAGAACTTCCTTGTGCCACCTGACCACTGGAAGTCATAGCTCAAGCCTAAAATCCTGTTCTAAATCAAGACCTCACCATTTCAGTGCTCTGTGGCACTAACTTTAACAATTAATAATCTTGGAGTTCCCTTGCTTTTGTTCATTTGTTCATTAGGTTTAAATACAAGTATATAACATTTAACAATTGGTCAGACTTCACTGGTCAACAGGGTCATGAATTGCATTTAGAATAAGTTTTAAATGAAAATACACCTTTCCCAACATAATGAAAAACACTTGCTTTATTATTTAATGAGCTGCAATGCTCCATGAGATGGAAACGCACCAAAATATTATAAACTCAAAGAAGTTAAGTAGTGCAGATATCATACAGTATTCAGCCCTCCATTTAATGGACATCGTATTTCTGTCAGCCTGCCTGTTTTGGAGTAGACTGTGCAAATAGCACTCAGGAGCAAAGCACTGTGGAGCAGCACTCAGACTACTCTACAAGGTGATGTGGAAGAGCTCTGTTTCTGGAAGACAGAATCTCTCAGGAAGGTAGAATTCTCCCCACGCATGCAGGGGGAGTCTGTCTTTTTAGGGGTACAACTTAGCCTCACTGCACACAAGGCCCTCAATCCACTCTCTTTTGAATGGGTTATACTCTGGGGGTGTCTGAATAGAGATTTCTTTACACCCTCCTGAACACAGGGGCTATAATTGTGGCTGGCTTTTACATTCATGGCAATCTGGTCCTCATTCATCAGTTCCTAAATACAATGCTTTTCCTATTCATAAGCCTCCTTTATTGTCATTGGCTTAACCTGCTTACTTCTGTGCCTATGTAAAAGAGGCAGATGTTCAGAACCATTTCCCAGCAATGTACTGCCTTGGTTTGTTGTTGTTAGCATGCCCCTCATCCCATGACAGCTCTTCCTCCTGCCTTGTTATTCACAGCAGTAAATGCAATTTAAATGTAACTGCTACTGTCCCTGAAAAAATTATTATTAGAATAATCTGGAAACATTTAAATTCAATCTTCTTTTGTTTTTACAATGCTGGTAATATCAGCCATCTGTTCCAGCCCAAACCTTTACCTTGGTGGCTTTTCCATGAGGTTAGAAAAGAGATCTAATATCAGATAAAGCCGCTTAGCCTGACCAAAGGAATTCAACTGCCTTCTCGCCAGTTTTAGCTGTGAAACAAGCCAAAGGCTTGGAGCTATAAAAAAACCCCATGCTGTTCAGTAAAATTCACTTAACCCTTTGTTGACCTTCAGGATAACTCATGTGATGGCTTGACTAAGCAGTGCATTGTTTTACAGGCAAAGAAAGCTGTTTTGAGCGTATAGTGTCCAGATTTGGCACTAACATAACTTATGTTGTGATTGGAGATGGCCGAGATGAGGAGCATGCAGCTAACCAGGTAACTTCACTCTGAACTCTTATCTCATTTATCTTCCAGGAAAAGAAAGTTGCTTTGAACGAATAATGCAAAGGTTTGGCAGAAAAGTAGTATATGTTGTAATTGGGGATGGTGTAGAAGAAGAACAGGCAGCAAAAAAGGTAACCTGTCTCATGAAATGTTGGTGTGATACATAGCTACTAATGCAAGCCTTTCTGTTTGCATTTCCATTAGTGTTGCACAATGGCAAAATGACAAATATTTTAAATATAGAGATGCAAGGCAACAAGAGCATGTTAAAGCCAACACTCACATGACAATAAACCATTTGGATTCTAGCATTTGCTTTCTGATGATGTGGAAAAGAAAAGTGACAGAAAAAAATATGTATCTTGACAGGGAAAAAAAACCCTGTTTATTTAATTCCAAGGAAATGAAACATAATTTTATATGAGAGATACAATAAAGTGAGGGAGAATTCTTTTCTTTTCTTTTCTCTTCTTTTAAGACACATTCAGGAACCAGAGAGAGAGAGAGAATGTAGAAAATTGGCAAAAGTATTGTGCCAAATTTCAATTGCCACAAAGGCAAAACAACCTATTAAAATGTTACTAAAGGAAAACTGATTCATTTTAAAATATATTTTTTTCAAGAAAGATACAACTAAAAAGAAATAGCACAAATGTACAGATAGAAACAGTTTCTTTAAAGTAAATCAATAGTTTATTTCTTTCACAATCAGTTTTCCCAATCACAAAACTCATAAGCATGAAGTATTAGCAAGTAAATTGTCATTATTTTGAAACAGAACAAATTGGTAATCTATGGAAGGCCAGCACATTCCACATGCCAGCATAACTCCCAGCAATGTGAAAAAGTTGTACTTGTCAGATTATGCTTTATGCCTCCTGCTCCATGATCAAAAATACTGACACCAACGTTAAAGATGGCAAAACTAAAAGCTTTCTAGTTTTTGGTGGCTGCTCTAGATTTGTTTTAACACCTCAGCTACAAAAGGAACAAATCAAAATGCTCATTCCAAATGGTTGCTTATATTAGGTGCAGTACTGGTGATGGGCCTCTTATAATCTGTGCTAAATGCAGGTGGTTGGATTTTTGGTAGTTTCCAGTTGGCATGCTTTTCTCTAACTGTAGTTGTACTTGCATGAACAAATATGGTATTCAGAGGGATGGACAAACACAGCACTTTACAAATAGATCTGAACTGTACAAAAGTGAGGTTCTTACCTCATTCTGGATAGCTACTGTATAGAATAACAATAGAAGTACCCAGCGCTAGCATGGATAGAACCGTAAGTCTCTAAACTGTATTTACTGGCAGCTACTGTTGCTGCTTGTAGTCTAAATCATCTCTTTTAAACCAGTATTTTCATATTTTCTCTCCTGAGCAGCTTTTCCCCAGCTGAACAAAAAGTATGTTCCTCTCTATTGAAAAATGTTAATGGCCCTTTAAACAGTCACTGAATATTCTGAACAATAATACATGAATACCAAAAATAGAGATGCCCTGTTATCTTTTATTTTCTAATTAAGTCCATGCTAGCAGAAGAATGAATTGCCCTTGCCAGATGTGCTGCTTTCACTGCGTTTGGGGCTATTTCCAGTGTCAATAGTAAAATCCGCTATCCAATGTATTTCCTCCTAGTTCTAAGAATTAAGCTCAGATCTATTTTAGTCTGATTTTTGTCAGTACCTAACTAACAAAGATCAGGCCACAAGCATAATGTTCAAAATATACTGTTGTGAGTCAGGTTGGACTCATTGGTAACTTGCCTTCTTAAGTAGATGACAGAGTAGTGTTCATTTTTCCTCACCTTTTCTTCCCTAACCAATGCAGCACAACATGCCTTTCTGGAGGATATCAAGTCACTCAGACCTCTTGGCTCTACATCAAGCACTGGAACTAGAGTATTTGTAACTGTATTCTATAGTTGACGATCCTTTTTTATATTTCAAGTACACTGAATTTTTATGTGTGATTCGATGCCTCTGGCTTTACACATATGAATTGTCTTAAGAAGGGAAGAAATATTTGGAATGGAAATTCCAAAATGAAGAATTCAGATTGCTGAATGGAGTTAAAACGTTAGTGCTACGTAAGGAAGCTCTATGGTCTTATATATGCAACGTTTTTAATAAATAAAAACTCTGGAGGTTGCTGGTACACACTGAATGAGCCCTAGCAGGAGTGAAAAAGGACTCATACTTGCAAAGCACCAACATGAGTTTTCCGACCGACAAGGTGGTGTTCAACAACATTCCTCAATATGGGATATATTCTCAGCACTGAGGTTTGAATCAAACTTTAGCCTACCTAACCCAGAAAATCTGAATTGGAATGCACTCAGACTGTATAATGACAATCCTGTCTAGACCTGTAATTTGTGTAAATTATTGATGAAGATAATTTACTGTGACTTTATTAGCAGCTGATTTTGGAAGTGGATGCAATTTTTGTTTTTTGAGGGGGTAGGGGGTGGGAGTGGGTTATATAATATTGTCTCTTTTATAAGTTTGGCAAACAGAATGTGCATAATGATGTGTTGTGCCTTAAAGACAAGACCGTGTTTGTGTGTTATAATGTAATTTTGGTTAAAAACTATGTAGATAAAATGGAAAAATTTTTGTGATAATTTTTGACATGACCAAATTTCAAATTCAAGTAATCAAAGAGCAGGACTGAATCAAAAACATTTAAGTATTTTTTGCAGTAAGAAGAAATAAAGGAAAGTTTGTGTTTTTATTTGGATTCTGAATAATTCCACTGATCTTGTGAGACAGTTAAGAGGATGTTGGGAAGCTGAAATGAAATTGGGGACCGTCACCCTAAAGCTAAAGCAAATGTTGAACTTTCTGAATACCGTTTCTTGATTCTCATATAAGAAAACTAAGAGCCATATTCATGATTAATCTACAGTCCACCAAAAAAAAAACCAACCCCAAAACAAACCATAGAGAGCATCTGTTAACATCAAAATCCAGCAAAAAGGTATTTAACATGCAACAACTAATTTTAATTGCTTGGGTCCAAGAGGGAAAAGAGCTGTTACGAGCAGAGATGGAAAAAAATGCTACTCCAAAAAGGGAAAATGTAAAATAATCTCTTACAAGTCAGACGCACAGGTTTGTCTGTGCTTAGGTTACCCAAACTGAGTAAAAATTGCTGAAGTATCAGACCTAATCCATAATCCAAATTATGATGCTGACCATTACGTGAGCACATTCTATTTTGCTAGATTTAACAGTGGTTTAGTTGCTTCCCTTTTCTATTACATGAAAGAATGGCATTCATCAGCCTTGGATTTATGGGATTTCTTTTTCACTGTTTTTATTGAACATGCATACTGTATGAATAAGAACTGCTCTAGTATTTTTAATTGGAAATTTCTGATTGAAATTTCAACATTTGGGGAGAACAAATAGAGCTGAATTTCTGAAGAACAGTTGGGAGAGATTTTCCCTTTGTTTCTAACAATAATCATTGTGGTCCATGCAAGCAGTTCCCCACCTAAGCCACCTTCCTGCTCTCTTCATATAGTTTCCCAGATTAGGAATGGAACTAAGGATCACATTGCATTGCTGCAGCCCCAGCACCCCACATTTGATTCCAGTGCCATGAAGCAATTGGAAATGTTATCACTTCAGCACTGTTGTGGAGGATGGCAATTGCTTTTCCTTTTGTTGATACTAAATGTGGAGACCCATGTGGGGTCCACATGCTCTGACGTTGTATAGAGATACTGCCATGAGAGAATGCGAAAGGCAAATACCAGGGGCATCTGTGTAAGTATGGTATTCAGTGATGAAGTGCAGTCCTCCCACTCAGCTGTGAAACCAACTTATACACCAGGTACTTGCATGAAATGGCTACTTTGCTATTTTAAATTACATAGACCAGGGGTTGGCAACATATGACCTGCAAACCAGATCTGGCCCTCGTTGTCATGGAACCCAACCCATGGAGCTGGAGGTCTTTGCTTGTGCCCACATCAGAACCAGGCAGCAAAGAGCTGCTGCCACTGCCACTTCTGCCCACCCACCTGGCTCCAGTCCTATGCAGGCTAGATGGTTTTAGTGGCATGTCAGTGGTGGGGAGCTTTGCCTATGGGAGCCGTGGGAGCCATGCCTGCACTGCCACTGCTTCTCCCAGCCCTCCCACTTCCTGGCTGAAGCATAGGCACAGCTTTCAGCTGGTGGGGAGCTGCACTGGGGCTGGGCAGTTTCCAGCTATGCCTACACCACAGCTGCAGGAGCAGGGTGGAGGAGAAGTGGCAATGCGGGCACAGTCTGCGGACAGCTGGTTTTGGCACAACTCCTCATCAACTGGAAACTGTTCCCGTTCCACAGTCAGGGAGCAGGGGGCTGGGAGGAAGCAGCAGTGGTGCAGGTGGCCACTGACACACCACTGAAGCCACCCAGTCCATGTGGGCTGGAGCCAAATTGTTCTCGCCCACAGATTGTAAATCATTTCCACCCCAGCCCCTGATGTAAGCCAAATCACATCTCTGCAGGTAAAAGCATGGCCCCATTTAAGTCAGTGGGAATACTCCTTAGTAATGAATTCCTCTGCCTCTGCCGGAAGTTTGTACCCAAGTCATTCACACAACAAACTAATGTACAGTTTTCATTTGTTGTAGATGAAGTGTACAGCCATCATGCAGGTCTTCCTTGTCCCGTTGAGACACCTATGTACATGAGAAATACAGTATGATGATTCTTCTTTCCCTTCTTGAAAGATTTCTATGACTAAAAAAATATTCAAGTATTTCAAGTCTGGTCAGATTTGGGCTTGAGTTTAAGTTTTATGCAAAAGTCCATTCTAAAACTTACAAAAGGGTTTTTTTTAAAAAAATCCCAATGGGAAAAAAGGTTTTAAAAAATAAACCCACAGGTACCAGCAGTTACAGTGTATGAGAACCTAAAAAATTAACCAAAACTGAAAATGCTATTTTGATATGGTAAATGTGATTATTTTCATTTTTTATAAGTGAAAGAGTTATTGTAAATATGCTAAAGACCATTACTCTTCAAATGACTAAAATTTTCAGGGTTCCTTTCAAAAGTTAGTTATAACAACATACAAATCATAACCCATAGACTGCCATTGATTTTTTTTTCAAAAAATTGCACTGGCCTTATCGAAACTGTATTTCAGTCTATGGTTCAGTGAGCAATATGTGTTAATTCTGGAACTGTCTATGTACCACCATACTCCAACCTTAGCAAATTTATAGTTTTTTGAAAATTTACATCAGCTCATCCAGTTCTAAATTACACACCAAATACCAAAGTCCTGAAAAAGAGCTGTAATTCCCTGTGTACTAATATACATACTTTGATGTAAGAGCAAAGTAGTACGTACAACGTCTTTATACATAATCTCTTCATGTGCTTGTCTGCCTTGGATGCAGAATTTATTATAAGACTTTCTGCATGAAAAAAAGCAGATGAAAATAACTATAGTCAAATCAAACTGTTCCATGTGGGCATGATTGAACCTAAGTTGAGGTTTGGTCATTTGGACTTTGAGTGCATTTTAATTCAATGTATATGAACTATCATACAGTCAGAAACTGCCTTCTCTTTAACCCCTCCTGTAAGATGCAAGATGTCATGTAAGCAAATACTGTGTGAAATTAAAATATAGAATATCATGCCTTTTGCAGAGACTGTAGCATCCTAAAGTGAGTACAGTACTTTAACATTAGGCACTGTTAATGTTGAACTTGCAGAATATAAATAAGTGCAGTTCCATTCAGAGTAGGCAATATCTTTCACAACTACAATACAATATGGATAATTTAGTACAGTTCAGTATAACGGTAAAGCAGTAAAATGAAATCACTTTAGGAATACTTGCAGATCATGCAGATAGATAAAGGTGATGGCTGACTCCCAGAATTGGATGTTGTTAGTGTTCAGTATGAGCAGCAATACATGCGCCCAATACAGGTGCAAAAGCTTGTTCCAGTGTAAGCACTGACACAGGAGATGATTCCAAACCAAAATCCTGGATGCAAACACTCCTCATCTTGGGTAACTGACATCCTTATTCAAATCTCAGATTCCAAAGTTTGTAGATTTGGCCCATTTTAAAGAAACTGTAGGTTCTAGCTCTGAACTTGAATCCAGATCCAGGCTTTTGGTTCAGGAGTCATCTCCACTTAACATGCTTGATACCAAGAGTTTGGTTTAAATGAATATGGTATTTAGTATCTCTGAAGAGGAATTTAAGTGACATGAGCCAAAATTGCGTTTTGACTCCCAGCATTAATCGCATTTTGGAAATCTCATTGAAGAAGCCAAGGATCTCTGTCATGTATTAGCAAGTTATAGTTTATTGGGGCCTACGTAATTTAAGAAAATGTAAATTAATATTAAAGCTTGTAAAAATATGTACATCTTTACTATTTCTCAATAAACACACTCAGAAATGTTGTCATTTTCTGCACTATACAATGCTTCAAGAGTTTTGGTTTGTGTTTGAAATCATTAGCACACAATTCTCTCTTTTAAGGGCCAGGATCTCAGTCAGTGAAGATTATTATTTTTATACGCTCCTGAGCCATTCACTTTGTTACCTGTAATATTTCCATGCTAGTGTTTTCCTTCATCTAAGGGCTTCAAAATGTTTGGGTGGGTCAAGAGGCATTCAGCCCCCTGAGAGTTCCCATTGTGGATACTACTTTGTTCCTACCTCTTTATGGCCCAACTCTGCTCAGAAACATAGCAGAAGTGGTGACCTTGGGATGGATGGGGCAATCACTCCACAAGAGCTTGCTGTCATCTGAATTATAACCTGCCCATGGCACATCCCACGGAAAGTTGCTCACTCTGCCGCAACATAAAGCAAAGGAACAGCAATGGCATAATATTTTCTGAAAGAAGTGGGCTTGGATGTATTAAAAATTGACAATGAGAGAGGGATGCATTTAAGTTAAGGGTCTGGTCTTGCAATGATGTTTCCTAGATTCAGAAACGCTCAGGCTAGTAGGTTCCATTTATGGGCTGTACATTTTCCCCAGAAGTTAGGTTTAAGCTTGTCATCCCAAAAAATGGCTAATCTCATTTTATACTCTCTACCACTCCTGTCCATTGAATTTTCCCCATTTATCTCTACCAGCAGTTTTCCTCAGAGACTGGTCCTACAACTAAATGTTACTCAATATGTGTATTAAGAACCTCGTGTCATAGGCTTGGGAACCCAGTGCCTAAAAGTCCATATGGCTGGGATAAGGCCCTGCTCCCAGTTCCTCCCCCCTGAACTATGAAAAGGGTGAACCAGAGAGAAAAGTGTAGTTGTAGTTTGTTTACTAAACAGGCACAGTGTTCAAGTTAGGAAGATACTCTGCATAGTTGGAGTAAAGAGATGAAGGGGCTATGGGGCACTGAGGAAAAGGTCAGAGCAGGAGAATCTGTGATGAGGTGTTTAAGTTGCAGAGGAATGCACAAGAGGTAGGATGATGATGGAGACACTGATGGGAGCTAGGCAGTGGGCCAAGGTATGAAGGGAGTGAGGTACAACCAGACAGGGCCTAGATCTGAGAGTAGAGTGGGTTTTGATCCCCTTATCAAATTGAATCCTTGTACAAGATGTGTCTGAAGGACACTTAGCAGTTGAGTGAGATGATGGCAAAGACCATCTGTGTCTGCGGAGGGAGAGGGGGTGCTACTCAATATACATGGTGGGCAAGGACCCTTCAGGTATAGTTCCTTGAAGACAGTCTAGCTGAATATAAGGGCTGTAACCTGGAAAAGGCTGATGCAACTTGCAGCTGGGGTAGATGAATAGCTACAAGGCTTGGGTGGCTATGTGGGGAGTTGGCAATGATCCATGACCCTATTGGTTATGTCAGAAAGGGGAGTGCACAGTGCTCCTGGGGACCCCAGTCCCAGTGTTCTGGACATGTGACCTGGAGGGTTATATCAAGGGC